GCGATCGAACATTGTTTCCGTTATGTAGCCCTAACTTAATTCAAATAATATAGTTATCTCTTGGCGTTTCTATTAGCGCTATTTAAAAGTACATTTGTTTCGCGAACATATATCGATCTAACAGCAGTAATTTAGGTTCAAAATGCGAATTTGAGAAAGGGAAAGTGAATTGCAATAAGCTTTGGCGAGAAGGGACTGGGAACTAGTATATATCCAAAAGCCTTATGTAATATATATGCGAAGAAATGAATAAGCATAATAGTTTCAGTCAATAAATGTCACTACTGCATTTCTTGTGAGCTGTTTTACTTGAAAACTGCAAACCACCACAGGTAGCCCAATTSGTAATTAAGGTAAATTWAAAAAACCCCTTAATCCCCCTTAATTGTGAGAATTGCGTTGGGCTCCCCCTCTAACATTATTTAGTGGATCCTAAGGAACATCTCTGCCAAATTTGGCGCTTTTGTCACTTCTGTAACGATGGGACCTATATTTTGCCATAAGAGACCCGACTAATAACTTTGATTTATTTAATGCTATTTCAAAACAAAATAGATTATTGTAAACTTCAATATTTGATGAAAGTTTTATGGTAATTAAATAAAAGCAACATTATAAACGAAGCGAATAAACAAGCTTGATGCGGTMGGCTATAAATTGTACCAAACCACCTTAATGTTGCATATGATTATGAAATGCACTCACGATATGAATGCGATCTGTGAAAGGTCACAACAATATGAACTCTAGGGATTTTCCCAAATTTTATCTATGAGTTTTTTTTGGCATATTTTCTTCTGTGCTGAAATTATTTACATATGATTCACATTACATTTGTACCCATGAAAAGCAGGGCAAATTTATATTTGTAGTCGTACTTTTTCTCTCGATGAAGTATTATTTAAAAGCCGACATCAAGAGAGAGATTGACATTGAGACCATCTTTTTAAAGCTACTTTAAGCACTGATATTATGATTTCGAAATATTAAGACTTGTTTATTTTTCAGCAAAAACAAAGCGATTCTCAATTCAAGATTTTATCAGAGCGAATGACATTGAGACCATTTGGTTAAGGCTACTTTAAAGCACTGATATTATAATTTCGAAGTATTAAGACTTGTTTATTTTTCAGCAAAAACAAAGCGAATCTGAATCCAAGAGTTTATCAGAGCGAATGAACGAAGCTTTACAAGAAAATAAGATGTTAAAACAAGAGCTGATCACAGTGGTGATCGGAGCAGCGGACAGTATAGATAACCTTAAAAGAAAAAATGACGAGAGGAAAACGAAAACCCAAGCAAAAGTACAAGCATTGAGGTGGGTAACATTGTTTTGAATTATAGCTGTGTTAAATATACAACTAAAGATGGCTTAGCAGGGCTCGAAATAGCGGCCNAAAGTACAAGCATTGAGGTGGGTAACATTGTTTTGAATTATAGCTGTGTTAAATATACAACTAAAGATGGCTTAGCAGGGCTCGAAATAGCGGCCTGCCAATGGCCAAATGACAGGACAAATTCCAGGTTTGCCAGGCGAAAATAAGGATGCACTGCYAAATGAATAGTAAAATGGCATGCAAAATTTACTGGAATGACCTCCAATTACCATTCTACTTTCCCATGGCAGGCTAAGAAAGTTTTCTATTTCGAGCCCTGCTGTAGTACGCTTTCATCTCACCTTTGGTTTGATTTGTGGACTCGTCATCACATGTAGCATGATGTAAGATGAGTTTGTTCGGTGTCTCCCTTGATTCGAGTGTTCTTCTATAGGTTCTCCAGTTTCCCCGCTTCATCTGTAAAAGCTAAAATGCCAAGTTCCATTTGATCTGCAAGTTAGCCCGCGTGCCCTAACTTGAGAGATTTCTCTCCTGGTTCTACAAGTTTCTTTCTTTTCTCCTCAAAACCCAACGTTCTAAATACTCCAGTTTCGAATTCTCCATTGTACAGGGTTAGACTCGATTYYGTATGGAATTATTTTGAATATTSATGTGTTCCAGTCAAGGTCCGTGGAATTTYAATGTGTTGTGATGTTCAAGTTGTGCATTCTTTACTTTACCGTTGGTATTTCTCGATATTTGTTCACAGTAATGAGGCTAACCCTGTATGATTGAGTCAGTAATCAATGTACACGGTGTTATTTTACGCGAACGGCCTAATCCAATAGGTTGCTATAGATAGACGTCACTCCCGGTAATAGCTGCTTTTTTAATGGCTTGTAGAATTTTGGAGGTTGCTTTGATCTCTTGTTTTCTGGTTTCATGTCGTAAAAATAGTCAGATACAATAGTTTGGGGACTTATTTTGACATGTTTTGACTCTCTAATTTTTTCCTATTGCACTTCCGGTTACGAGGGCTTTACGAGTTTACAACGGAAAAAAATAGTGAGCGAGACTTGAAGCAAGTCTACGACAACACGACTCGGTGTTAATAACAGATGAATTTGTTTTTTTTTCCCTCAAAAGAAACCAGTTTGCACGCGACAAGAGAAACCTAGAAGAGAAGGTGATGTCCCTTGAGAACGCGCTGGGACTGGTGCGAGAACGAGCTMTCAAAGAGGAGGAATGGGAAGGAGCGGCTAATGCGACACTCAAAACACTGCAGAAAGAAAATCAGCAATTATTAACCAARTAAGTCAGTGGTGAATATTTAAGATACTATATAGGGTTATTTGGGATACATGTGTATTTGAATATTATTGGGGTTGGGAAACCTGAGTAATGAGAGAGAGAAAAAGTAAGTAAAAAGCTCTATTTTGAATGCCCTTGTATTATAAAACTTTGAATGCCMTTGTATTGTAAAACTTTGACTTGTGATACCTATGTGTGGTTGAGTAGCTTTGATGCGTTCCATGTATACTCAAGCTGCTATTTTGATTGTTCTTTTAGTTTAATGGACAGTGAAGAGGTTATCCGCGAGTACCAGCGCACAAGCCGTGAAAGCGAAGCTCGCTT